CGAGAGCTATTTATTTGATTGGTGCGCCTTATTAATTAGTGTAACATTTATTAAATTGTACTGGTTTATTTCTTGTTAAGTTATTCCGTGATAATCGCTTTCAAATTTTCACTTCGTGATACATGTAAATCATTTCCGATTTATATGTTCGTTTCCCGTGATTTATAATTTATTATTTTACAATGTTTTTACATATCATAAACTTCAAAGCCAAAAATCAAAAACTAATGTGATAACTAATATCACATACTTAAAGTGAAAAAAAAAGAAATAAAAGAAAAAAAACTCACTGGACAAATGTATCCAGACACCTATTTTCACTAATTCCACAAAACTCCACATAATAAAAAAATATAAACTTAGTATTAAGCAAAAAACGATTTTTTATCAATTTTTAAATTTTCAACTTAATCTACATATTGAATTGATATAAATTTTATATTTTTTATTATGTGGAATTTTAAGGAATTAGTATTTGTGACAATAGGTATCTGGATACTTTTGCCCAGTAAAAGTTGTTCTATTATGTACTATATATATAATATCATTTTTTTGGAGCTTTAATCTAAAATTTGACTCAACAATAATTAAGGAAAGTGCTATTTTGTTTTTTTTCAAGTTGGATTGACTGTAATAGAGATGGGCAAATGGCATATAGTTGAACACTATATGATACTATACGTATAGTGCATATAGTGCATATAGTATGTATTAATAAGATTTTATAGTTCTGGGAATGTTATTATTATTAAGTAACAGATAAAGTCGTAATAAAAACAGACCTTTTATTATCAAGTAACAAATAAAAATGGGCATTTTTTTTTCTTATAAAACATTTTATTTGTTAACTGTAACTTGATTAAAACATACTAATTATATCAATAACATCCCAGTTTTTCAATTAGTTATCACCCCGGTTTTTTAATTAGTTATCATACTGGAAATTTACATAATATTTATTATTATTTCATTTATGTTTATTATTATTATAATTTTTTTTTCTAAATACAACAAAAGCAAGAATTAAAACGATTTCATATCATGAATCAATTATAAACATTAAAAATTTAATCTTTTGGTTCAATTTGAAGATTTATTTGAACATTATTACAGTTTTTTATAGAAATTTTTAGCAAACTATAGCCAGCATTGTTTTTTTCACAAGGAATTGTAATTGTCAGTCCATTAATAGCTGCTAATTCCACATT